GCCCCAGTCCAGAGCCAGATCCTGCAAACGCCGCCTCATCGCCCCCGGCGACCCCTCCAGCTGTGGCCCTTGAATCAGGGACGCACTCCCCTGACCGACAGCCTACTGATATACCGGTGTGTCTCCCGACTCCCTGTCACCCGTGCTCGCGTTCCCTCACCACCCCTCGCTCAGACCGGGAGCTGCCACCGTCCTCTCGGGGTCGCCGACGGTTTGCACGTGATGTTCTGGATCTGTAGTATCTCTGCGCCACCTATGTGTTGCTTACCGACTACTAGCGCCCAGTGATGCACAACATGTACCCGACAAGCGCCCGGTGTGCGCACTCGTGTGTTCGTCGTCACTGCGTGCGTTTTACGAGTCATGTGCGCACTCGTGTGTTCGTCGTAACTGCGTGTGTTTTACGAGTCATCCAGTGTTTCTTTCACATGCGTTCCAGACCTTCCTGTAATGCGGATTATGCCATGTCTCTTTTGACCATCATGTTGCTTACTGGGGAAGTTACCACGTTCATTTTCATTTCTAGCTTCCGCAACAAGATCTCGTGCCTGCGTTTCGCATCCACTCGTTTCCGTGGGGGCATACCTGAGCATGACTGTATGTACCTACTGTGCACTCAACATAATGGTCTGTTCGTTTATTGCAGAGAGTTGCCTCATTCAATAAACAACAAATTCGAATGTTTGAAATGCTTACTCAGCTATATATGAGTGTGCGAAAGAATCCTTCCTTGCTCGCGAATCGAATCACATTCGAAACAATTGTGCTAACTCATGAAACCATAAAACGACAGCTTTACATACAGAATGCCAGATATGATATCAGGTCACACTTGGTCACAATTTTGTTAACAGTTGCAAACATCACAATAAACAATTCGACCTGGTACCTCATCATTGTTTATTGTACCAGAAGGCCCGTATTGTTTATCGCAATGGTACATTGCCATTTTTGAAACGTACATAAAACAACCGACAAATAATACCACTTCATTAGGTATGTTTTCTGTTTTAGGATAAGCCCGTGAAACCACGTAAGATGCTGAACGTTCCGTGACACACACCAGAGACCTAATGCATATCTCACCCTATATGTGACCATGCAGTCCATATTAAACATTGCTGCGACCCACACGAGGTTTGGCCCTTGCATATTTAACTCTGAAGTACTGTACAACCTGCGGTCTGTACATGTCGGTCCTGCAATAGGTTATTACGCACGTATCTATCGTTGAATACGTCGTAATCCATTATCAATAGACAATAAATAATATGATCCGTATTCCAGGCAAAAGAATAAGAACTGTTGCAATCCAATGCATTGCTTACCGCATGAATAGTTATCAATAAACTACACATTCTAAACGAACGTCGAAAAAACGCACGCGTCACGCGGCAGAATCATACGTTATACAGTGTTACAATGAAGCAAACCTGTTCCGATCCAAGGCCGTGCAATTAATACAATTAAGTGCATAATGTTAATGTTGTACCGTAGCCGCTCTACCAGCGTTGAGAGCCTCTGGAACGGCCAGCTGACTAGCAGTTGGCTGAGAGTGACGACCATGGCGTGACGTGTCCGTGTGCGCTCGTGTTGTGCCGTGTGTTAGCTATGTCCAGACTCAACGTTCGGGGATAATACATCACACTTGGCGACGAGGATGGCTCCGATCCCTACTGGGATCGGTGAACTACTACAGCCGCCTCCTGCCGGGGCTCGCCACGACGCTCGCGCCTCTGTACGCTCTGCTCAAGCGCGGCACACCGTGGCGGTGGACGCCGCAGTGCTCCGCTGCGGTCGCTACAGTGAAGCGGCTGCTGGCCAGCGGGCGCGTGCTGGTTAGGTACGACCCCAGCCTGCCGCTGAAGCTGGTCACGGACGCCAGCTCCACGGGGGTCGGCGCGACCCTTCTGCATCAGATGCCCGACGGCACGGAGCGACCAATCATGTTTGCGTCGAGGACGCTGACACCGACTGAGAGGCGCTACGCACAGGTTGAGAAGGAAGCGACCGGTGTGCAGTATGGACTCAGACGGTTCCATCGATTCCTGTTCGGGAGGAGATTCACACTCACCGTGGACAACAGGGCTCTGTCACGGATACTCAGCCCCGAGCGCGACCTGCCCGGCCTCTCAGCGGCACGTCTTCAGAGGATCGCCATGGAGTTGGCGGCGTACCAGTATGACGTGGAACTGCGCAAAACGGCAGACATGGCTCTCGCTGACAGTCTGTCTCGGATGGCGCTGCCGGATAGCGAGCAGGAGCAGACGGCAGCAGAGGCGGACACCAGCGGCCTGGACTGCCACCTGATGTTTATGGACGGTGCGGGCCCGCCGCTGACGGCCCGCGAGCTCGAAATCGGCACCCGACGTGACCCACTGCTGGCCAGGGTACTGTCGCATGTCCGACACGGATGGCCATCAGTGACGGAGCCGGAGCTGGCCCCCTACAGACAGCGCGAGACGGAGCTGTCCACCGACCGGGGCGTGCTCCTCTGGGGCGGACGGGCGGTGATACCCCAGAGACTCAGAGAGCGGGTGCTACAGGAGCTACACACTGGACACCTTGGTGGGTCCAAAATGAAACAGCTGGCGAGGCGGTACCTGTGGTGGCCCGGTCTCGATGCCGACCTGGAGGCCATGGCACGGGGCTGCCACTCATGCGCTGAGAAGCGCGGCGCTCCACCCCGAGCGACACTCCACCCGTGGGAGCCCACGTCAGGGCCGTGGCAGCGAATCCATGTCGATTTCGCGGGGCCGGTGGAAAACAAGTACCTGATGGTGGTGTGCGATAGTCACACCAAGTGGGTGGAGGCCATCATCATGACAACGACGTCCGCCGGGCGGACCGTTGAGGAGCTCAGGGAGCTGTTTGCGCGATTCGGAATCCCAGACCAAGTCGTAACCGATAACGGACCTCAGTTCACGTCGACGGAGTTTGGGATCTTCCTCTCCAACAACGGCGTTCGGCACATCCGCACGGCGCCGTACCACCCAGCCAGTAACGGCGCGGCCGAGCGAGCTGTCGGTGTGTTGAAGAGCGGGCTCCGAGCGACCGCACGGGACGGCGGCTCGCTGCATCAACGTGTGCAGAAGGTGCTGATCGCGTACCGGACAGCTCCACACGCGGTCACAGGTCGGCCGCCGGCGGAGGTAATGTTCGGACGCCCGATCCGCACCAGGCTGGATCGTCTGCACCCCAGCATCATTCGTGACGTAACGGACAGCCAGCAGGACCAGAGAGAAGCGGCCGGGGGACGCCCGCGCGAGTTTCAGGTCGGTCAGGCCGTGTGGGCGCGGACGTATGCTGGACCTCAGCGCTGGCGACGCGGCCAGGTGATCGGCGTCACGGGCCCCGTATCGTATCAGGTGGACGTCGGTGGGGCCGTGTGGGCGCGCCACGCCGACCAGCTGCTCCCCACCGCCGGCCGAGCACAGCAGCAGGCGACAGAACCGGCAGCAGCACAACAGCAGCAGTATCAGCTCCCGGCGAATCCTGCATCTTTCTCGCGGGAGCGTCAGCACCCACCCGGTGGGGGCTACCTCCGAGACGGCGGGAGAGGAGAGGGAGGACAGGAAGAGAGAGGAGAGGAGGAGGACAGTGCGAACGAGCCCGAGCAGGAAGAGAGAGGAGAGGAGGAGGAGAGAGAGAACGAGCCAGAGCACGAGGCGGAGGCCGGAGCGGCTCAAAACGGAGCGGCTCAAAACGAGCGGCCTGAGCCGACCGAGCCTCTGCGCCGGTCAAAACGGACCATAAACGTGCCGATCAGATACCGGTAGAGCTGGCGGGAGCTGTCCATGCCAAGCCGGCGTTTGTTTTAGCCAGGAAGTGCTAGCAGCTAGTTTCGTTTGTCTAAATGTTTGCTAACAGCTATTTTCGTTGGTTTAAATGTTCATGTTATGTTATAGGGGCGGAGGGTGTTGTACCGTAGCCGCTCTACCAGCGTTGAGAGCCTCTGGAACGGCCAGCTGACTAGCAGTTGGCTGAGAGTGACGACCATGGCGTGACGTGTCCGTGTGCGCTCGTGTTGTGCCGTGTGTTAGCTATGTCCAGACTCAACGTTCGGGGATAATACATCACAGTTAATGTGGAAGAGAGCGCGCGCGCGCGCCGCGCGGCACAGCTGTAGGTGCGACGAGTTGTGTCGTCCCACGCTGACCCGGTTTCGCCACCGCTCTGTCCCGAGGGTCGGGCACAGCCAGTGCGTAGTAGATTGCCACACCATGCCACCTCGCCGCGCCGGTGCGTGCGGCTGGGGAGGTTTCATCACGGCGCCGGCCTCGGTCAAGGCCGGGTAGCCTTGGTCCTCGCTGCCGCTGCGTGGTGTGACGAGCCTTGCGCCACCATGGCGGCGACACAGGCCGCGTTCAGCTCGATCGTGCACCTCGGCAGCGCGGGTCGCGCCTCACCGCGACCGTGATTTTCTCACAATTCTACCATTTTGTTATTACTATGCATGCGTTAAAGATTGCTAGGATTAGCTAAGCATGCTAGAATTGGGCTATAATTTCGTGAGAGTGGTCCAGCTTGCAAGACACCTCCTAAACACATGAATACCCGCCCAAAAAAAGAACTTCTAATCGATCTGAGAATCCTCTTTCCATGTGAGGTCGGCCGATAGTGTTTGTTACGCCGCTAGTATCCACGGCTGAGTTCGTTCCAGCTTCCGGGTCCGCGATCTCGGTCCGCGATCTCACACAGCGTTCTGAATAACGTAGTCCTGTATTGGTGATCGGTGTCCGGCGGGGGCCGCTGCCCGACTGCAGCATGGCCGCACCGTGCCCGCGAGCTCCACGAGCTCAGCGCCACCTAGTCTACTGCACAAAGTTCAGAGGGCAAGGGCTACGTCACCACACACTACCCCCCTCAACAGGAATGACAGTCGTGGCGAAGCAGACAACACAAAAACTGGCCGAAATAAGACTAAACATCCGTCTAAAACTATTTCAAAGCAAAGCCAGTCGCTTCGAACACGACTTTGTGTCGCCGTCACATTTCGGCTATGAGGCGACGTGGCTGCTTCCGTTGCCTGATGGAAACGCGCTGAGCGATGCCCCCAGCTGCTGATCCAGCTCCTGGTCCTGTCGCCGATGAGGTCGCACCGCCACATCTGCTGACCTCCTCCTCGGCACCAGCGTTGCCGCCTGCAGCCACCTGCGCTTCCTCGGAGCTGCCACCGGTAGCGGTAGCAGGTGCTGTCACAGCATCATTGCCCGTCGCCCCCGGCCTGTCTTTGGCCGGTGACCTGACCGTCGTTTCCGACCCGCCGGTCACACCTGACCCGACGATGACCCCCGGTCTGATGGTCACCGGTGGTTCGCCGATCCCTGTGGGGGCCACCGGAACCTGTCCAGTACGGTTCGGTGCTGCCACCGTCGGCTGCCGGCTGATTTCCTCCGCGCCATCGGACGCTGCAGCAGCCTGTTGGGTGCCCGCCAGACGCAGCTGGTCGGCGTGCCGCGACCAGATCGCGCTCCCCACGTCCACTTCGAACGACAGCGGGCCCGTCCGGGCGGTGATGACGCCCCGCCGCCACTTGGACGGTCCACCGTAGGCCCGTGTCCAGACGTGGTCTCCGATCGAGAACTGCCTGTTGTGACCTGGCCTACCGGCCTGCCACTGGCGAAGTTTTTCCTCGCGCTGTCGCACGTGCACATCCGGCTTTAGGAGGTCCAGGTTGGTTCGCACGTTCCGTCCCAGCATCATTTCCGCTGGAGACCTCCCCGTGGTCGCGTGTGGCGCCACCCTGAACCAGCAGCTGTCCGTCGGTTCCCAAGGGTGAAGTTCAGCACGCGGTGGTGCCCCGCGCTTTTCCATGCAAGCCGCGCAGTCACGCGCCAGGGCCTCCAGCTCGGCGTCCATGCCAGGCCACCATACGTATCGGCGCGCCACACCTTTCATTTTGGCGCTGCCCAGGTGACCTTGGTGCAGCTCTGCCAGCACCTGTTGCCGAAGGCAGTGGGGAACCACCGTCCTGCCACCCCAGAGCAGACATCCCAGGTCCGTGGAGAGCTCATCCCGCCTCTGACGGAACGGGGCCAGCTCCTGCTCCACCTGTCCGGGCCACCCACTGTGCACGTACGTTAGAACGCGCGACAGTACCCGATCGCGGCGTGTCGCCGCCGCGAGTTGTTTGGCCGTCAGAACCGGAGCTACTCCGTCCATGAACAGCAGATACGAGCCGCCGCTGTTGTCGTCCTCAGCATCCGTTGGCTCGACCTCTCCGCCTGGCACTGCCATACGAGACAGACTGTCCGCCAGGTGCATGTCTTCTGATGGACGTAGCTCCACATCATAGGTGAAAGCCGCGAGCTGCAGCGCATACCGCTGGAGCCTGGCCGCCGCCAGCGTTGGCAGCTCGCGCTCCGGACTCAAGATGCGCGACAGCGGCCTGTTGTCCGTGACCAGGGTCCACCTCCGGCCGTAGAGAAACTGACCGAAGCGCTTGACAGCGAAGGACACTGCCAGCGCCTCCTTCTCTACCATTGGATATTTCCTCTCCGTTTTTGTGAGTGTCCGAGAGGCGTACATCACCGGACGCTCCAGTCCTTCCTCGTCAGGCTGCAGAAGCACGGCTCCCACGCCGACTTCACTGCTATCTGTGACGAGCTTGAGCGGCGCCTCTGCATCGTACCGCTTTAGGACTGTGTCCCCTGCCAGCAGTTTCCGCACTCTGACCAGTGCGTTTTTGTGCACATCAGTCCATTTCCACGTGGCGCCCTTCTGTAAGAGCTCGTACAGCGGCGCTAGTTCCGTGGAGAGGTTGGGAAGCACGCGCTGGTAGTAGTTGATGCTCCCCAAGATGCTGCGCAGACTTTTCACATCCTTAGGGTCCGGCATGTCGATCACTGCGTCAACTTTCTCCTGTACTGGACGCAGCCCCTGTGCTGAGATGCGCCAGCCGAGGTACTGCACCTCGTCGAGTCCAAGTTGACACTTCTCCCGTTTCAGCTTCACTCCATGAGCTTCCAGCCGAGTCAGCACTTCATCCAAGCGCACGCACAGGTCCGTCATGTTCGCCGCCGTCACCAGCAGATCGTCTTGATAGGCCACACACCCGTCTATGCCATCCAGGATGTGATCGATTGCGGCTTGAAACACCGAACTGCACGCCGATATGCCGAACGGTAGGGATTTCATCCGATACCGTCCTCGGTGCGTGACGACTGTTGTCATATCCCGCGATTCCTCTGCGAGCTCCAGCTGCAGGAAGGCGTCTTTCAGGTCCAATTTGCAGAACCGCCGCCCTCGGACGCTCGCAAAGATGTCCTCGGCGGATGGCGTAGGATGCGTCGCCATTTGCAGCTGCGGGTTTACCGTCAGTCGATAATCACCGCACAGACGCACACCGCCATCAGCCCGTGGCACCGTCACCAGTGGTGTTCCCCAGCCGGGCGCGTCGTTTGGACCGACTTTTTCCGCGATCCCGGCCTGCACCCAGCGGTCGAGCTCCTGCTCGACGGCCGGTTTCAGTGCATATGGAGGCGAGCGCACCGGCCGTGACACCGGCCGTGCATCCGGTTTCAGTGTCAGGTGCGCCTTTACTCCACTGATGCGCCCCGGTGTGCCGTCAAACACCGAATTGTGCCTGTTACAGACCGCCTCCAGATCCGCCGTCCCTCGGTCCGGAGTGACGTCCATCACCGCCGTCTCTCCGCCGCCCACACGTATGTCCAGAGCCCGCAGCCAGTCGCGGCCTAGCAGACGGCGATCGCCAGGCAGGTCCACCACGACCAGTCGCAGTCGATAGTCCCGACCGCGAAACGTTACCGAGACGTCTGCCTCACCCCGGAGAGGGATCCGGTGACCAGTGAATGACGACAGCTGTAGCTGAGTAGGTTTCAATCGCAACCGCGGGATGACCGTGTCCCGCCCCACAGCAGTGATAGGGCTGCCAGTGTCCACCACCATTTTGATGGCCACCCCGTTCACCGGTAAAGTCATTTTAACCGCCTCCGTTAGGTTAACGGCGTTTATCTGCCCCAGCCCCCACATGTCCGCCGTGGCAGTCTGCTGTCGGCATTGACTGCGCAGATGTCCCATCTGCTTGCAGCGGTAGCACCGCCGCGTCTCCGGTGCCGGTCTGACCCCGTCGGACCCACGAGTGTCAGATTCCCGGCGCCCCGGCCACGTCGGCCGCCGTGACGCTGGTGCCGCACGCGCTGACTCATCCGGGCGCCGTCGGCTCTCCTGACAGTCCCGCTGAAAATGTCCCGCCGCACCGCAGCGGTAGCAGCGGACCGTGCGCCGCTGGCGGTTCCGGTTACCGTCAGCCGTGCGCTGTGGCCGGACAGCGTTCAGCTGATCCGACCCCGAGGTCACCACATCGACCTCTGGCCGCTCGTCCAATGCGGTAGTTGACCGTCCGACGCCGTCCGTGCTCAGAGACGCACTACGGAACTGCGCCACCAGCATTTGCGTTTGCTCGTATGCACGAGCCGTAGCCTGCAGATCTTGCAGTGAAAAGTTGTCTCCTTTGGTTCCGACCGTCTGCAACAGTCGCTCCTGAATTTGTGGAGTCGCGCCAGCCACGCTCCTGTCCCGGAGCTCACGGTCGAGGTCAGCCGCCGGGAACCCGCACCGCCCAGCCACCGCCCGCAAACGAGCCAGGTACGCGTCGAATGACTCGCCGGCGTACATGCTCGTGCGGTGGAACGTTACACGTTCCGCCATAAGGTTAGACGTCGGCTGCAGATATTGGCGTAGTTTAGCCACAGCGGTGTCGTATTGTGACGTTGCAGCCGTTGCAGCCGGCTCCGGCAGGGTGTCGAACACGTCCTGGATGTCCGGCCCCATTAGATGGAGCAGGACTGCAGTCCGCCGCCGGTCGTCTGTTATGTCTATCGCCTCGGCGTAGAATTCCAGACCCTTCAGCCACCGGCTAAAGTCCATCCCCTTTGCAAAAGGAGCCACGCTCGGCAGTCCGGCCGCCATGTTTGCCACCGCCCCGAGGCTGCACCGGGGTCAGGCACTGCACACTGCACTGACCGCGCTGACTCACCAGTCACGCCACACCGAGCAGAGTCCAAAGTTCAGAGTCCAGCGGCCGCCGTCGCCGCCCGCACCACTGTGTACCCGGCACGGAGGTGCAATACAAATGTTCCCAACAACGATACAGCGAAACGCAGCGGCAGAGCTTACAGCGTTAATGCACAAAATTATGCAGCAGTATAAAAAAAAATACTAAGCACTAAGCAGTATCACCCGGCACGACGCTATCACTTCACCGTGATGTATATCCGCGCCGACCGCCGCGCACTGTACCATCCAGCACGCCAAACGAGTTTGTCCGAGTCCCGACGCTGTCACTTCCCCGTGACGTATATCCGCGTCGGCCACCGGTGCCGCACCACCAGAACGCCAAATCCGTGAGAACGCCACTTTTCCTTCCGAGATCACCACTAAGCGAATCTCATCCTCGTCGCCAAGTTGTTACGCCGCTAGTATCCACGGCTGAGTTCGTTCCAGCTTCCGGGTCCGCGATCTCGGTCCGCGATCTCACACAGCGTTCTGAATAACGTAGTCCTGTATTGGTGATCGGTGTCCGGCGGGGGCCGCTGCCCGACTGCAGCATGGCCGCACCGTGCCCGCGAGCTCCACGAGCTCAGCGCCACCTAGTCTACTGCACAAAGTTCAGAGGGCAAGGGCTACGTCACCACAGTGTTGGGGGGGGGGGGGGTCCAAGCCGGTCATTCGAGCACCATACTAGTCTAAGCAGCCTCACACCGTTCTGAGGTAATCTGCAATAATCTGCACAGGGTTCTGAATGCAGGTTGGTTGGTAGAGATAGGACATCTACAAGTCACAACTCTTACAGGATCCCCATAACCTGACCTTTGATTCAAGGGCAGCATTTTGATATCCATTTTCAGAGGGCTGTTCACGGGCCCTGTGTGCGGTCGGACCGCACACAGCCTCCAAGCTCCGCCCACTGCGTCCCTACGTCAGCCTTCCGTCACCGCACACAGCGACCGCTGTGGCCGGTCGGGACTGGCCACAGCGGACCGTCCACCGCACGCAGCCGTGACGTCAGAGCCGCCTACCCATCCCCTACCCCCACGCCTGCTGGACGCACCGCACACACCGCACGCAGCAGTGTGTGGTGCCCGTGAACACCCCTCAGGTCAAGGTAGGTCACACCCTGATCACAGAGACTGAGTGTCAGTCTTTAAAGGAAATAGTTCACTTTTAACATGGGGTTTTGAGCTGGAATAGCAGTTTCGTAGCTTGAGCTGAGACTAGCACAAATCAGGAGCTTTTACGGCTCAACGATCACCCTAGACGAAGAAATTCCATTTCTCGTTCCGAAAAGAGTGCCTTGTAGAGGAATGCGTGCCTTGCACAGGAATGCAGCCACGTCATCGTCAGCTAATCAGCGTGCTGCTTACAGCCAATGCAGTATTCGTAGGTTTGAGCTACGCAATATGATTGGTCAATGCGTAATAAGCTTCCGCGTCAAACATTATTTTACATAGAATATAGTTCGCCCTATATTAAAATAAAGAAAATAACTGTTTTTACAAAAAGGTTTTATTTTATTTCATGATTATTTTGAGCATAAAAAATCATACCCAGCAAACATGCCCACATGGGTCCCATATGGGGTGAACATGGGCCAGATGGGCCCACATGGGACATGGGCTACAGATGGGGCCCATATGGGTAATATGGGCCCCATATGGGATAAAAATGGGCCAGGTGGGCCAAACGCATGTGGGCTGGAGATGGGCATCCCATGTGGGTCCCATATGGATCACCCATGTGGGCCCCATTTAAGTTACTCCAAGTGCATAAAAGCAAAAAAGGTGGCTGTTGTTCATGTGTATTTTGGACTCCAAGTATATCAAATTCATACATGATGCCATATGGGGTCAATGTAGGCTGGCCCATATGGGTCCCATGTGGGCGCCGCGTGGGTCCCATATGGGGCCTACGTGGGCTGGCCCATGTGGTTCCCACGTGTCACCCACTGGTATTCCCATGTGGGGCTCATATGGAAGAGGTGGGGGGGGGCATGTGGGCCCCATATGGGAACCATGTGGGCATGTTTGCTGGGATATGAACATTTCCTTTACTACAAAATTTTGGTAACTGGCCCGACACCTATCTGGGCTGGATGCGGGCAGCATGTGGGCAGACTGGGCACCAGCAAGCTGGGCACACCCATCCGGGGCCCACATGGGGCCCAAATGGGCAAACTTTACTACAAAACTTTGTTAACTGACCCGACACCTATCTGGGCTGGATGCAGGCAGCATGTGGGCAGACTGGGCACCAGCAAGCTGGGCACACCCTTCCGGGGCCCACATGGGGCCCAAATGGGCAAACGCCCAGCCAGCATGCCCATGTGGGCCCCACATGGGCAGTTGATGGGCATGGTGGGCTAGGTGGGCCATGGGCTAGAGATGGGCAAATATGTGGGCTGCATGTGGGCCCCACATGGGCTGCCCACATTTTTTGGCAGGCATAATGATTGATAATGAGATTGCTTGCACCATGTACGAGGGCATATCCAGGAATTTTGGTGAACACAGGCATTCACGCGGTGTTCCTGTATGGTGGGCTTAACATGGGCACTGCGTGGGCAGCCCATGTAGTGGGGTGTAGGTGGGCTGGATGTGGGCAGCCCATTATTTATTTTTTCACTGTCCAATGTGTATGATATTACAAGAAACAAGAACTCGCTGTTTAGTCTCAGACTCTCATGCCTCCAAAATACACTTCGACGTCGTGAGGAAGTCGCATAGTTGATGTTTGTGAGACCAGCTACGGCTGATATTGGATAGTCAATGTTGTGATTTTGTCGTATGATTGTGTCGCCTGAGCCCGCCCCTGCGCGGGCGACCCGCCGGCGGAGCTCGGCCCACCGGACGGGGCCTGGGGCCGCCTCTGCACCGCCCGGGGCGGTGACCGGCCGACCGGCCGGTCGGCTGTCGGGGCTGCGGCGTCTGGGCGGGCCAGTTGGCGTTCAGACTCTGAGTGGTGTGCGTGTCCAATAAAGCCTTATTAAGCCACGGGAAGGTCGGCCTTGGGAAGACCAAGCTGTTCCGGGTGATCTTCCGTGAGTACCTTACAGTTTGGTGGTCACACCAATCTGTTCGACCATGGGAATGGGTCATTCAAATAAGTAATTTGTCAAAAAAGCATAATAAAGGGTCTGTTCCCGTCGCTCCTCCAACCTCCTCCAGGCTCCTCTAACCTCCTCTCGATTCAAAAAATCGTTCCCGTCGCTCCTCCAAGCTCCTCCAAGCTCATCTTGATTTCACATCTCACCACCACTATTTGCCTCCTCCCTCATCCCAAATTTTTGGAGGAGGCTCTGCGTAGACATATTTGGCGCTTGTAATACAAATGTGAATTGTTTATAAATGAGATTTGAGGGAAGTGGAATTGATTTTAGTGATCGATGAGGATGGAGTATCTTTTAATAGCAATGTTCGATATTGATCTACGGTTATTTTATTAGAAAGCGATTAGTATCTCTTGATTTATGTTTGCGCGCCATAAATCGCCGACCGTTACAGCCCGCAAACAGCTGATTTTCTCGCAAAAATGTTCCCGTGGCTCCTCTGAAACGGCTCTCCTCCAAGCTCATCCAACCTCATCCGAGATTTTTTGGGAGGAGCGACGGGAACAGACCCATAGGTTCCATGCGTGACATCAGTCACAAATGGTTTGACACCAGCGTTGATGTTCGATTTAATGGGTAAACATCGCGCTCCTCGTTCCGCACCGTCTGTATCAAAACTAGCCAAAGTCTGTCTCTGGTCCTCCGTTTGAAGTGGCTGCGAAAATTACGGGAAACATTTAACGTTTGTTTCGAATATTAGTTAAAGGGACAATGTCATGTTGAAATTTGATATGTCGTAGGCCCCACCTTTCTGTTCAAGGAGCTGAAGACCGATTCTCGAAGTTCGACACCGTTCTCCCGCTATCGCCCCTCAATGTACGAAATGTGTGCACGCTTTGAATTGCATTAATATCCTCAATGTTTCAATGTGTCGCATCAATAATCGCAATAATCGCAATAATCGCATAATCGCAAAAATCGCATCAATATCCTCAATGTTTCAATGTGTGCGCCGTTTCGAATTGGCCTCCAATAACAAAACTTTCCTGGATCTTTTCTTTAAACTTTATAAAGTCAACACGTTTTTCCCACATTATCCTCAACGTTGACTTCCATTAAATACTCGTAGGTATTTCCCAGGACTTTTCACTTCGCAAAAAAGTTAACAAGTTAATAGTGACGGTTCGTTCAAAAAGCTCTTGCAAAATGTTTCCCCGATTTTGGTCCTCAAACTATCCATTTTTGATTCATGGAAATTCAGCAACGGTAGTAAAATAAGGAGGCTCCCTGGCTTCCAATTTTTTTTTTTTATAATGACTGTCCATTTAACGCTTATCAGATAATGTGCTTACATTGTGGCTTTCTTAGTGTGCCCTATTTATTTCACAGACGCTGTCAACCTGAACCCGACGGTGACCTGCCAAGAAAAGGATCTCGAAAAGGCCGTCGGCAAGTGGCTGACAAACTGCCGCGACCGTGACGGCCAGCGATCAGACCGGGGGCGAGGCCGTTCGCCCGCCCAGTGACTTGTGTCTCGATGAGCGCAGAAAGAAATACAGGACTGTGCCTGATGTATGTTGTTTTTATGGGAATAAAGTGCTGGAAGGAAGCATATTTCGTCTCGCATGACATCGCACATTGACGGACAGTGCGAGAGCACCGCTGAACGTCAGGCTGGGAGGGGCACTTTCAAATGGGAGCGTAACGTGGATTGGGTTTACATAGATTCAGGTGGGTGGCGTATATGGGGCCGGGTGGGGCAGGCATTGTAGGACAGGGCGGGTGCTGAGTGGCGAGTGGGTCCCATGTGGGGCCAGTGTGGGGTAGCCCATGCGGGTGGCGAATGGGTCCCATGTGGGTGGCAAATGGGTCCCATGTTGGTGGCAAATGGGTCCCATGTGGGTGGCAAATGGGTCCCATGTGGACTCCCAGGTGGGTGGCAAATGGGTCCCATATGGGGTCAGTGTGGGCTGGCCCATATGGGTCCCATGTGGGCGCCGCATGGGTCCCATATGGGGCCTACGTGGGCTGGCCCATATGGGTCCCACGTGTCACCCACTGCCATTCCCATGTGGGGCCCACATGAGTGGCCCATGCGGGACCCATATGTAAGAGGTGGGGGGCCCATGTGGGCCCCATATGGGAACCATGTGGGCATGTTTGCTGGGTAAATCAATAGCAAAATACTGATTTCAGGAAAGTGGACTGTTTCCTTTAAGGACCCCCTACTGCTATATGAGGGCAGGGTTTTCAAATCCTTACGACTCCCTAAGCCCTGCGCTTTCCTTTAACTACGGCCTTGGAGGACCCGACTCTGGCCTAAGAGCCTACATAAATATTTGAGCGCCTATGAAGGTCCCTTAATTCCAAAGCCCATGCAAGTCACTGAGAGCCTAATGCGCTGTCTGATGGCTAACACCGCCCTTGGAGCGCGAAACAGCGGCCTCCATTCCTCAAGAACGTTGATTTGAGAGGCCACCATGTCGGTGTCAATGGGCTCCGCTTCTCGGTTTTCGATTCCTTGTGCAAATTGGACCTTGGTTTTTCGGTTTGAAGCAAAATTCTCCCGATAAAATTATTAAGTTTTCTTTGAACTCTAGATAAAACGGAAATTTTTCATCGATTTCGGGAGCTGCAGGGGGGGGGGGGTGAATTCGCCCATTATGCCCACCATGGATCCGCCAGCGAGGTTTTATGTTTTGGGTCGGACCCCCCCAATCCCAAAACCGTGGCGGAGCCCCTGGATACGGCGAACATTTCAGTTCTCAGGAACAGTTTCGCGATTTTGCTACTGCGCGTCTCCACTGCGCCATTTGATTGGCTAGTGTCTACCTTGGTGTCTACCAAGATTACTTTACTACTCGTCTACGGCATCGGCCAGGGTCGGACCGATATGTCTGATTGTCAGCAACAGCATCGCGAATATCAATCTGCTGCTAGATTGACGGACATATTGCTCACGATGCATAAATAATCCCGTAACCGGACAAATCTTCGTATGGCAATTCTTCGTCGCGCAATTCCTCGTCCGCATTTCTTCGTCCGCAAATCTTCGTCGGCGCATTTATTCGTGTCGCATAATTTCGTCTCGCATTTCTTCGTAAGCGCAAATATTCGTAGCGCATTTTTTCGTATCCGCATTTCTTCGTACGCGCATTTCTTCGTCAAGCATTTTTTCGTCCACGCATTTCTTCGTCTACGCAAATCTTCGTCCGCATTTCTTCGTCCACGCAAATCTTCGTCGGCGCATATCTTCGTCCGCAAATCTTCGTCCCCGCAAATCTTCGTCCGCAAATCTTCGTCCGCATTTTTTCGTCCACGCATTTCTTCGTCCACGCAAATCTTCGTCCGCATTTCTTCGTCCACGCAAATCTTCGTCCCGGCAAATCTTCGTCCGCAAATCTTCGTCCGCAAATCTTCGTCCGCAAATCTTCGTTCGCAAATCTTCGTCCGCATTTCTCGTCCACGCATTTCTTCGTCCACGCAAATCTTCGTCCGCAAATCTTCGTCCGCAAATCTTTGTCTGCGCTATCTTCGTCTCCGCAAACATTCGTCCACAAATGTGGTTGAATAAAACCATGAAGAAATATCAGACCATCCTAAGTGAATGACGAATTTAATGCATGGAATGGATGATCGAAACTTTTGAAGTCATGGCAGATGAGATCACTCAGTCAGGTGAAGCTATTGTATTTGGGAGCCGACAATTGTAACATTCCATATCATTTGTGTCCCGGACATTCTTTTTTTCGCGGTCGTTGAATGACAATATAATCTCTTGTGCCCTCGCCGGCATAGGCGGCGGAACGGGGAGGGCACCGGGGCACCGTTCCCCTCTTTAATTTTGGCCTTTTAACAGTAGCTCTATGGGCGTTGCATGGAAAGAATGGGACCAAAAGTCGGCAGTGCCGTGCCCCCCTGTAGGGATCATCTATGCGATTTGTCATCTATGCGATTTGTCATTTCATGTTGTCATTTTCATTTATATTGTCACCGCTTTATTAATCAATCTGTTACCTGTTGTCAATTGTGCGTTAAGTTTGTTTGTTATTTGTAAACCGGCCTGCCGCTGGCATCAGCCTTCCTAGTAACCGCTGTGCCATACGCTATAGAACGTGTCGTGCATAGGTCACGGCGGCACCCCTGAGGCGGCCGCTGCCCGTACGTTTAGGAACCCATTGTCGTGACGTCATGACTGTGAACAAAGGTCGCGGCAGGGGCTCTCCCGGCAGCCGGACGGTGACTCATACGTTAAGCTTGTTCCTCGCCGCGCCTGCGGGCATATTGGTAGTACTAGGGACGGCCAGCATGTGACCGCGGCTTTTGGCGACATTGTCAATTCGTTTTTCGACTCTGCTGTTCGCTGCAAGACCAAATACACGTAGAAAACGGCTCGGGCATTTGGAGAAGAGCGGCTACTCTGAGGCGAGGGAAGAACACGGAGATTCACTCGAACGACCTTACTAGGTCGCATCGGCCACAGCCAACTAAGGCTCTGTCGGCCGTCGTACGGCTCACGGATAGATTGACACAGACCGTTCGTTCTACACAGCAGCCTACGACATTGGTGACCCCGACGTGATCTCCGTTGTTCGACCTTAGCCTCTCGTCATGCCCGCGGACAGCGCACAGTCCGGCGCCGCAGCTCAAGACCCAGCCAGCGTTCCAGCTTCAGCCTCCGAGTCAACTCATCGGCCCATGGCTAGCTTCCGGCTACCACCATACTCTCCGGAAGAGCCCGACCTGTGGCTACTGCAGGTGCAGTGCGCTTTCGACGTCAGCGGGGTCGACTCCGACGAGCTGAGGTTTAAGCTCCTCGTTGCAAACCTCCCCGCCAACATCGCCGTCCAGGTCAAGGACGTCATCCGGTCATCTCGGTCTTTTGACGTGCTGTGTGCGGCGCTCCAAGCCCGCCTGGCACAGTCACGCGCCGACCGACTACAAGCCCTGCTCGGCCGCCAGCAGCTCGGCGATCAGAAGCCGACGGCGCTGTTGCGCTCAATGCGCAACGAGCTAGCCGCAGCCGGGGACGCCCCGGTTGATACTGAGCTCTTCCGTACCCTGTTTCAACAACGGCTACCGCAGCCCGTCCGTGCTGCCCTCGCCCTCCTGCCAGCCGACAGCACGCTTGACGCACTGGCAGAAGCGGCCGACCGGTATCTGGAAGCTAGCGGACCGGACCCACGGCTATCAGCGATCGCGGCACAGCCGTACACACAGCCGGCACCGCCCATCGCTGCTGCAGTGACAGCCCCGGCGCCAACTGCAACCCCTGCGCTGGACACTGTCATCGCCTCCCTGGTCGCTAAGATGGAGCGCCTGGAGGCCAGCAACCGACGACTCGAGGACGCCGTGCGACGCGACCGCAGCCGTTCCCGGCCGCGCCAAGCGTCTCGCCAGTCTCGCCGCCCGTCACCGGCTCGTCCTTCAACGCCGCAGCACGACGACACGCTGTGTTGGTACCACCAGCGATTCGGCGCCCAAGCGCGCCGATGCAAGTTGCCGTGCTCCTGGATCGCCTCGGAAAACTGAGGCGCCCTGTGCTGATGGCGCAAAGCACGGGCGCCCCTCCTGCCGCGCCACTCCTCTTCGTGAGGGACACGGAGACGGACCGGCAATTTCTAGTCGACACCGGGGCGCAGGTCAGCGTGCTGCCTCGCCGCTGCCTGCCCAACGGGTCTACGCTGACCCCTGCTCCTGTCGGCCAGCAGCTCGTCGCGGCAAACGGCTCACCGATCGCGGTGCACGGCACCTGCCTGCTGGACGTCACCTTGAGTCAGCAGCACCGCCTAAAACATCGATTCTTCGTCACCGACGTCACCACACCCATCTTGGGCACCGACTTCCTGGCCGCACATCACCTCGTCGTGGACGTTGCCAACCAGCGTCTCCTGCGGGACGGCACCGTCTGCGCCAGCGCCGAGCGGTCAAGGCTGTGCTCCATCGGAGTGCGTCTCGTCCGGGAGCAGGCTGCTGCTCGCTTCGCAGCTGTCCTCGCCCGGTACCCGGATGTGACCTCACCAAAACCTGGACCAACACCGGTGAAGCACAACGTGACGCACCACATCGTCACCAAGGGTCCACCGGTGTACCAGCGGCCACGACGTCTCCCGCCGGAGCGCCTTCAAATCGCACGTGCCGAGTTCAACAAGATGCTCCAGCAAGGCGCCATTCGACCGTCGAGCAGCAGCTGGGCAACTCCACTCCACATGGTGCCAAAGAAGAGACCCGGCGAGTGGCGCCCTTGCGGCGACTACAGAGCGCTGAACGCCCGCACCGTACCAGACCGCTACCCGCTGCCGTACCTGCGGGACTTTTCAGCCGACCTGCATGGGTGCACCGTCTTCAGCACCATTGACTTGGTGAAGGCTTTCCACCAGATCCCGGTGGAACCTGCCGACGTCGCCAAGACAGCCATCACGACACCGTTCGGCCTCTACGAATGTGTTCGGATGCCGTTCGGCCTCAGAAACGCCGGGCAGACCTTCCAGCGTTTCATGGATGAGGTCCTCCGCGGCGTAGCGGGCTGCTTCGTCTACCTGGACGACATCTTGCTGGCCAGCCCGACCGCAGAAGAACACCTACAGCTCCTGGACCGAGTGCTCCAGCGCCTCAACACCTACGGCGTCGTCGTCAACAGGCACAAGTGCGTCCTGGGACAAGAGCAGGTGGTGTTCCTCGGCCACTCGGTAGACGCCGACGGCGTCCGCCCGCTGCCTGGACGAGTCGAGGCCATCAAGAACTTCCCAGAGCCGACTACGCAGTCCCAGCTACGAAAGTTCCTGGGGATGGTAGCGTACTACCACCGTTTCGTCCCCCGGGCAGCCGGACTCTTGCAGCCCCTACACGCCCTGCTCACTAGCAAGGGCAAGAACTCCAAAGCGCCCGTCGCGTGGACGGACGCGACACGCCAGCGCTTCCGAGACATCAAGGATGCCCTGGCCGCGGCGACGCACCTCGCGCACCAGGTCCCGGACGCGCCGCTCGCCCTCTTCGTCGACGCCTCGGACTGCGGAGTGGGCGCCGTCCTCCAGCAGCACGTCGCCAGCGAGTGGCAGCCCCTCGCTTTCTTCTCGAAAACGCTCCAACCTGCGGAGAAGAAATACAGCACGTTCGGGCGCGAGCTGCTCGCTATCTACCTGGTCCTGGCCGTCCGGCACTTCAAGCACGCCATCGAAGGACGGTCAGCAATCATTTTCACAGACCACCGACCACTGGTAACGGCCATCGGCTCCTCGTCCGACCGCTACTCGCCGCGAGAGGTCCGCCACCTGGACTACATCGGCCAGTTCGTGTCTGACATCCGCCATGTGCCTGGCAAGGACAACGTGGTCGCCGACACGCTGTCACGCACGGTCTCGATGGTGGCCCAGCCGCGACCCCCGCTCGCCGACTTCACTGCCATCGCCAAGGCCCAGTCCGAAGACGGCTCGCTGGAAGACCTCGAGGCCACAGACACCTCACTGCGCCTGCGCCACATCCCGGTCGGCGATGGACTCCGTCTGCTCTGCGACGAGTCCACCGGATCGCCTCGGCCGGTCCTCCCAGAGGCGCTGCGCCGGCCCTTCGCCAAGGCTCTGCACGACCTGTCGCACCCTGGCGTCGAGGCTACCGTCAAGCTCGTCTCTAAGCGGTTCGTCTAGCCCGGTATGGATCGCGACGTGCGTCGCTGGACCCGAACCTGCCTCGCCTGTCAGCGCTGCAAAATCGGCCGGCACACCAAGTCTGACGTCGGCACCTTCCAGCCACCTCAGCAACGCTTCGACCACGTCCACGTGGACCTCGTCGGCCCGATGCCTCCGTCAAGAGGGCACTCGTACCTCCTGACGTGCGTCGACCGGTTCACTCGGTGGCCAGAAGTCATCCCTCTGCCGGACATCCGCACCACCACGGTCGCCCGAGCCTTCCTCGAGCACTGGGTCGCCCGATTCGGCGTTCCGTCCATCATCACGACGGACCGAGGCGCCCAGTTCGAGTCGGCCCTCTGGTCGGAGCTACAGCGTTTCCTGGGCTGCCAGCGAACTCGGACGACGTCCTACCACCCGGCCTGCAACGGTATGGTGGAACGCCTGCATCGCCAGCTGAAGGCCAGCCTCCGTGCACACCAGGCTACGTCATGGACGGACGTGCTGCCGCTGGTGCTCCTGGGCATCCGCTCCACCATCAAGGCGGACCTGCAGGCGACGTCGGCCGAGCTGGTGTACGGCTCCTCACTGCGGCTTCCTGGTGAGTTCTTCACCAGCAGCCAAGCCTCAGCAGCATCGCCGGCCGGTTTCGTACAAGACCTGAAGCGCGCCATGTCTCAGGTGCGGCCGACACTCCCACGTCCGGTCCAGCGCGCCACGTACGTCCCGACGGCACTCCAGACGGCGACACACATCTTCGTGCGCAGGGACTGTCACCGCTACCCGCTGGACGTTCCATACGACGGACCGTTCCCGGTTACCGAAAGGACCACCAAAACCATCACCATCGACCGTCGACAGAAAAAGGAGGTCATCAGCATCGACCGGTGTAAGGCCGCCTTCCTGGAGACGCCAGACGAATCCGGTCATCGACAGTCTGACCTGCCGACTGTGCAGCCGCACGGTACTCAGTCCAGCGGCCCGCCGGCCGCGCCACCGCTCAGCAATGAGCCCAGCGGCCCGGAGCTTCTCATCTACGGTGACGCACCAACTCGCCCTGCAGCCGTCGCTCGGGCTGACGCTGCACCATTGCAGCCTCAGCCGATACTACGGACGACCCGCTCCGGCCGCGTCATACGACCTCCGGTAAGATATCGCCATGTCACTTTTGTCCGCGACATGTCTGGCGAGGGGGTACTGTAGGGATCATCTATGCGATTTGTCATCTATGCGATTTGTCATTTCATGTTGTCATTTTCATTTATATTGTCACCGCTTTATTAATCAATCTGTTACCTGTTGTCAATTGTGCGTTAAGTTTGTTTGTTATTTGTAAACCGGCCTGCCGCTGGCATCAGCCTTCCTAGTAACCGCTGTGCCATACGCTATAGAACGTGTCGTGCATAGGTCACGGCGGCACCCCTGAGGCGGCCGCTGCCCGTACGTTTAGGAACCCATTGTCGTGACGTCATGACTGTGAACAAAGGTCGCGGCAGGGGCTCTCCCGGCAGCCGGACGGTGACTCATACGTTAAGCTTGTTCCTCGCCGCGCCTGCGGGCATATTGGTAGTACTAGGGACGGCCAGCATGTGACCGCGGCTTTTGGCGACATTGTCAATTCGTTTTTCGACTCTGCTGTTCGCTGCAAGACCAAATACACGTAGAAAACGGCTCGGGCATTTGGAGAAGAGCGGCTACTCTGAGGCGAGGGAAGAACACGGAGATTCACTCGAACGACCTTACTAGGTCGCATCGGCCACAGCCAACTAAGGCTCTGTCGGCCGTCGTACGGCTCACGGATAGATTGACACAGACCGTTCGTTCTACACAGCAGCCTACGACACCCCCCCCCCCTTAATTGAAGGTGTTCTGCCGCTACTGCTCGCCGGACCTATTTGTTTTCTACATAGGTACACGCCGGCCGAGGGGGGAGGGTACGACCCCCCCTCCCATCGCCCGATTTTAAGGCCTTCTAGGTCAGGGGTCGACATACCGCCCGCGGGCCGGATCCGGCCAGGTGGGTGACGGTTGGATCCGGCCCGCGACCGGCGCGACCATCTGACGTCCGGCCCGCGGCTGGTATCAGCGACTTACATCGTGTTCCGGCCCGCGCGGTTCTTTCAGAAATCGACTCCGATATAAAAGTGACTGAAATGACCTTTGGCACAATACCTAGTTCTTCCTTCGCACACTTCATGAGTTAATAAACACCATTTGCGGGTGTTTTTGTCTAATTCTACTTAAAGACAAAACTTGCAACGGTAAGATTTGGTCAGCAGCTTTTGCGCGCAGCATCAACGACTGCTGGCTGCGTGCACTTGGCGGCTTCACGTGGTCTACTCGTTTAACCCTCCAGGCGGTGGGGGGGGGGCATTTTTTTTGCCCCCCCCCCTGTATCTCCGAAACTACTGGACGGATCCGGAAAATTTAAACGGCGTTCGATAGCCCTGTCAAATTTGTGGAAGGAAGCTAAATTTCATTGACCTCGGGGTCACCGATGGCGATGACGTCACAGGTCAGGTCAAAGATAACATGTTTCACCGTTCACGGGTCTTCTAGGGAAAGCGCTATAACACCGAGTAAAGCGCATTTTGTCGAAAATCAGCGATAGGGCGTCAGTTATCTAGTACATATGTTGCTATTAGAGGTCACTGGTCATACCAGGTTAGGTCGCAGGTCAGGTCACCAAGGGTCACCACATGAACCCAACCCGCAAATGGTGTTTATAAACTCATGAAGTGGGCGAAGGAAGAACTATTGTGCCAAAACACATTTAAGTCACTTTTATATCGGAGTCGATTTCTGAAAGAACCGCGGGCCGGAACACTATGTACCTAAGTCGCTGATACCAGCCGCGGGCCGGACGTCAGATGGTCGCGGGCCGGATCCAACCGTCACCCACCTGGCCGGATCCGGCCCGCGGGCCGTAAGCCGACCCCTGATCTAGAAGGCCTTAAAATCGGGTATTAATCTCTGCGTCTCGTGACGGCGCCCACGCTCGCTTTTTTCCGCGACGCGCTAGCTCCACCAGTGGCGAAACGGCGATGGGGGGGGGGGTCGTATCCGCCCCCCTCGGCCGGCGTGTATGTAGAAAACAAATAGGTCCGGCGAGCAGTAGCGGCGGAACGCTTTCAATTAGGGGGGGGGGGGGGGGGCACGGCACTGCCGACTTTTAGTCCCATTCTTTCCATGCAACGACCATAGGGCTACTGTTAAAAGGCCAAAATTAAAGAGGGGAACGGTGCCCCGGTGCCCTCCCCGTTCCGCCGCCTATGCCGGCGAGGGTACAAGAGATTATATTGTCATTCATCGACCGCGAAAAAAAGAATGTCCGGGACACAAATGATATGGAATGTTACCATTGTCGGCTCCCAAATACAATAGCTTCACCTGACTGACCTCATCTACCTGACTTCAAAAGTTTCGATCATGCATTTCATGCATTAAATTCGTCATTCACTTGCAATGGTCTGATATTTCTTCATGGTTTTATTGAACCACATTTGTGGACGAATGTTTGCGGAGACGAAGATAGCGCAGACAAAGGTTTGCGGACGAAAATATGCGCAGACAAAGATTTGCGGACGAAGATTTGCGTGGACGAAGAAATGCGTGGACGAAAAATGCGGACGAAGATTTGCGGACGAAGATTTGCGGACGAAGATTTGCGAACGAAGATTTGCCGGGACGAAGATTTGCGTGGACGAAGAAATGCGGACGAAGATTTGCGTAGACGAAGAAATGCGTGGACGAAAAAATGCGGACGAAGATTTGCGGACGAAGATTTGCGGGGACGAAGATTTGCGGACGAAGATATGCGCAGACGAAGATTTGCGTGGACGAAGAAATGCGGACGAAGATTTGCGTAGACGAAGAAATGCGTGGACGAAAAAATGCTTGACGAAGAAATGCGCCGACGAAGAAATGCGGAAACGAAGAAATGCGCTACGAATATTTGCGCTTACGAAGAAATGCGAGACGAAATAATGCGACACGAATAAATGCGCCGACGAAGATTTGCGGACGAAGAAATGCGGACGAAGAATTGCGCGACGAAGAAATGCCATACGAAGATTTGTCCTGGAATCAAATAATCCTGTTCGATTCAACAAATCCCGATATCTGCGAACGCTGCTAGTGGTTCCCGTGAGCAGACGTAATGCATTGATTCCATGGCAACATCTCCTTGAGGCATGTTACCATGGAAACTGGAGGAGATTCAAAAGCGTCTGGTGTAGTTTTGAACAGAGCTCACGATATAATAATATGCGTCGCTGCGTCACTGCCAAGATATCTATGTCACTGCACTGATTCAGCGGTGAATCATAATTCATAAGATAAATATTGAATAACGAATTTTGACATCAAGGTCATTTTGACATCAAGGCTGCCTCAAGGCCCTAAATACATATTGCTGTAGGAAGAGTGAAGGACGGGGCTGAGTGAAAAGGTAGGTATGTATGGTTTATGGAAATGCCCAGCCAGCTGATCTTGATCTTATCCAGTACCTAGTTGTTAGTAAGGCCCTTGTTGCTTGGACACCTACCTACCATCTGTTTGATCAGGCACTTGATGCAAAAGATAGTAGTTATATACAAAACCATCCCAGGTCAAGAGTTAAGTACCTAACCTACCTATTAATTGAGTTTACGAAGGACATGAGCCTGGGCTCTTAGTCTTAACACCAATCACTGGGACTCGGGAGTCCAGTACTCTACCAACTGAGCTTATCAGGCTTATCTTGGTAATCTTCCACTCCTGTGAATGTCTCCATGATGATTTTGCTGCTGACACATACATACAATGTTTCTGTTTCAGTTGCGATCCGGCTCTGTGGTGTCAGGCCAGCCAGTGTCAGTGACAGTCTTCAGCCATGGCAGTGAACTCAGCACATGCCCCTGGGGGCGGTGTACTGATACATGCCGGCGAGAGGTCAGTCAGGCAGGCCAACCCGTTGTCCTATTCTCGAGTCATCATTGCATGCTGGACAGCTTTTCTTTTTTAAGCTAAGGTCTAACAAGTTCATGTTACTCTACCTTGTATAAGCTCTTGTTCAAGTATTTTCATTCACTGTTTGTAAGCTGTTTAGCCAAAAGTGATGTCTTACATAACACAGGTACAATTTGCTCCCTGGCCATTGCTGGTCTTATGATTGAGTACGTTATCATTGCCTATCTGTTTTTGTGTCCCCTAGTTTCAATGAACAAGGTCTATCTTTTTATTACATTTTCTCCAATAATGCTGCAATCCAGTTAGATGAGCAATGGGCATGTATAAAAATTGAAGTTCACTGACTGATTGGGCAGGTAGGTACCATAATTTCTGAAGCTACAAATATTCTGCATTAATGTTTGTTCATCTCCTCCAAAAAAGGTCACCAGCTTGTGCTGTTCCATTTGCTTTGCAGCATCATCTTGTTTTGCAAGAACGTGGTGGTGGACTTTGACGATGTTCGCGACTGCAAGGAGATGCATGGGGACAAGAAAGGGTGTCTGTACCTGACCACCCATCGTATGATCTTCACACACGACAAGAAGGGAGACAAGTTTGTCTCATTCAGCTTCCCCTTTGTCACACTGCAGGAGGTGAGATGAATCGTCCATGGTTTTGGGGATAGGGTGCTTCATGTTTTGTTTTAATTACAGTTTTGCTGTCTCCATTGTGACTTTGCATTTCAGCAAGGGATTTGTCAAGTTGCTTTTCTTATCAGCGGTAACAATTTAAAAAATTTGTTGTCGCGACGGACTCGCCGACATGCATGCAAGTGATACGCGTACAGGACATGCGCCGGCTCGATATGGACGACGCTCAGGCTGCTATGGAGTGCAGTTTTCACAGGATGTCTCGATGTCAGAGATCATACCAGGTTACCACCCTGTGGCTCAATATCTCGACAACTGCCGCCCGGCTGACGTGACGCACACTCTGGACCCTCCAACAGGTGGAGCTGGAACAGCCGCTGTTCGGCGCCAACTACATCAAGGGCAAGGTGCGCGCCCAGCCCGGCGGCGGATTCAGCGGCGAGGCGCGCTTCAAGCTCACCTTCAAACACGGTGGCTGTATTGAGTTCGGACAGGCCATGCTGCAGGCCGCCAAAATGGGTGAGTCCGTCAGAGCAGCAGCAAATAATCGGAACTTTGTAAAGATATTCCTTTTAAGAACAAATCGCTTTATTATTTTAACATAGATATGCAATGTAATAATTGAATGAGGACTTTACTCCACAAGAAATCGTTCGGGTCGGAGCTTTCGAATTGTATTACAAAGCTTCGTCAGCGTATCGTAATCGGGTTCGGGGGTATCGGTCGCAAAATTGAGGGCGATTCGTCTTTGGCAGACAAGGACATGTCACAGATAGTAAAATAGATAAATAGCACGTGACATTCTATGATAAAACATTTAACATATATGAAAAAGAAGAAAATATCTCATAAGCGATATACATTCTAATTATATCTGAATCTGTTAAATAACAAAGGTTATATAGAGTGATAAATAGTAATAAAGACCTACCTAGGATATATAGCAAGTGATATAAACATGTATGCAACATCAATAGGTAATAGGCTAACAAAGGTACCAGGTATATAAGATACACTATAAACGACCAAGAAAATCATTCAATAGGTAAAGAGTAAAAATGATAGCAATGATCAAAAACACTCCATCAATAGGCTAGAACATTCACAACTAATAACATTAATAAAAGGAGGATATAAAGTTCACGAGAAAAGTAGCCATATGCAACAACCAGTGGGGGGGGGGGGGGCGTGAAATATATAAAAAAGACAAGTCGAAATCGTACAATCTTTTAGCGGCAGGCACTGCGGATAATGGGTAGCCAGCGATCTTGTAGCATAGCACCTGAATTCCTGTTCAAATTGGCATCATTTGGTGACACTAACACAGTCTCCCGTCGTCCTACGGTTCTGATGTAGGCCGACTCCAAGAGGAGTCTCATCTGATGGTGAGCGGCACGGTCGAGGATCTTGGCATCATCAAACAGAGGCGTGCACTGCCGATGGGAGTTGAATGCTGAGGCGTTGGCTCTGGAGCTCCTCGAGCCAGACCAGCAGTCTCTGTGCTCTCTGACTCTGGTTCCCAGCTCCCTGTCCGTCTCGCCGATGTAGATGACCGGATCACCGTCAATCTTGCAGGAGCACTCGATTTGATAAACTACGTTGCTCTCCTGGTGCTTCGGCAGCTTGTGCTTGCTTTTGCTGCACAGAACTGCTCCAAGTGTCTGAGATGGCTTGGAGACGAGTGAGATGCCGATCTTGTTGGCTGCTCTTTTCAGTTGGCAAACCAGCTGGGCTATCTTGCGGCTTTCGCAATCTGTAGGTGATATTTGAAAAGTTTGTTGTGAACATTGGACACCTACGTTGCATCGTATTTTAGTTGATCCCTCCGTTGACCACCTCTCTATGATTTCCTCAGCGGGCCGGCACACGTCGCAGGGTTTCGCGCCGCCGCCGTACACGCCGTACCAGGGGAACGTGTACCCGGCCCCGCCGCCGGCCTATACTCCCCCGCAGCAGGGCTTCTACGGCTGGGTGCCGCCGTACCAGACGTTCCCCGACCAGCCGCCCGGTGAGTTCACGGGACGGAGAGAGACCGCTGCCGCCGTCTGGACGCTGCGAGCCCACGGATCAGGAGGGGTTTTCCATAGGCTCTGAGTGCTCTCATTAAACTGCGCTTGGCATTTTAATCGCACGTTGTATACGGAGTGTTTATAGGCAATTTTACAGTCAATTATTATAAGTGCATTTTGACCTTATTATCCGTGTTTTTTCTTGCTGTGGGAGCTTATTGCTTGGTCAGTGTGACTGATATGGCTGTATGATGTTCTAGTTACATAGTGATCAACTGCCCTCCGACTAGGGGAACATTGTGCTACAAAATCTCACAAGGCTAAGGAGAAACATTCCTCTAACACGTAGTGTGTGTGTTCCCCAGCCGGCTCGGTGTTCGTTCAGGAGGCCCCTCCGCCGTACCCGGGTCTGGGCGGCTACCCGGCGCCGCCCGGCTACCCGCCCCAGAACGGCGGCTCCGGTCTGTCGGCCCCCGCCGGCGCACCGCCCGTGGGCTTCTACACACCCGGCGCCGGACCGGGCCCGGCCTACGCCCCGCCGCCGCCACAGCCCGGCTACTGGGTGAGTTGGGGTGGGATGCGGCGGTGAGCGGCGTACCTGCGTGTGATTTGTGCTGTTCAATGTTTACTGGCGTGTTACGACTAGCCATCAGTGAAGATTGGACCGCGACTCCTGATTCCGATAGTCTTTTTGGATTTGATCTGTCAGCTGTTCGCGAAAAGATAGAAAACAACTATTATTTTCTGTCACTCTACGACACCCAGACGGTTAAAAAGAAAACAAACTATTAATTTCCAGTTAGCCAATACCCAGGCAGTTACCTAGACTTTGCGACGATACTCACTAGAGTCCTAGACTAACTACCCCCATGCATGTCATTTGACCTTACACCATAATAAATCGCCGTTACATTGATCGATTGATTTCTGCTTTCCGCAGGAGGCCCCTCCTCAGTACCAGAAGAAGAACGACTAACTCTGACCAGGGAGCACCGGGAAGTGGCCGGTGATCCTGGGACGGAGTTGGTGAGCCCGCGATCCCTGACGTCAACACGACTGCATTTGGCGGATATCAGCTGTGTGTTACTGTATTCTACAGTCGGTGTGGCACCGTTTTGTTTGGGGCTCGGCGTATGTATTACGTTACCTGAAAACGATTGCGCTACGTGTGAGTGGGAGTTATGTTAATAAGCGCACGAAGTCGCCGACATGGGTTCTGTCGGGCGGAAACTAATTACACATGTTTACCAGTGGTTTCGTCGATTTCCGGTTTTCGGTCTTTAGTCTATCAGTGTAACATTTCGGAACCCTTCATATTGTCTACGTATTTTGGTGAATCCCTACTTCCAGTTGAACTATCATACGTCATTTTTCAGACGTGACGTATTGATATTTGGGACAGCTGTGTGATATCACTTATAGATTGTTGAATATTGTCCAGCCATAGTATGCAGGTAGTTCAGCTTGAAGTTAGTGGTTGTAGCAACGATTTATTTCATGTGGCGACGACATACATATGTGGGGTGCGTATTTTGACGTTATTGGAGCTGTCAAGTGTGGGCGTGAATACATTGTTGCGTAGTTATTTCATCACGGCACTTCTATTTAGCCACTGCTTAGGTAAATTAAATGATTAAGGGTTACTAACAGCTTCATGAATGTATATGTGTGTGAGATACGTTGTCATATGCTTTTATCGTTTTCAAATTAGTGTGTATATCCGTCGCTTTCAATTTGTCAAACATTCTAATAAACTTATTATTGAATGGAAAAGGATGTCTTGCTAGAAATATCAATGCCATGACCTGAAATTCCTGCTTCCGATTTCCACGCATAAAAATATGTAGGAAACAAGCTGTATTGCAGCTAAGCACACTCCAATGATTCTTCACCATTCTAGCACCATTAACCACACATCAAAATGTATCATCACTTGCACACGGCCAGCTACACCCTCATGGTGCTGGCCGAGGTTTGGCAGTCAGAGGGAAGTTGTCCCTTGCATGGAAGTCTGCATACATGTCATCAATGAAATGAAACTGTCGCCTCCAGAACTTTGTAGCCATCTTGTCCAGCATCCTTGACTGAGTTGCATTTGTGAACACATGCTGACTCAGTCTTGCCTTCCTGCGAGAGGACTGCCTCCACCTCCTCTTGTTCTTCCCAGCACGAGGCCGTATCCACATTCCGCGGCCTGCCCAATCAAGATATATGAACCTCTTGACAACTGACTTCACAGTTTTTCTCTTTCCAGTTCTGTGGCTCCATTTTACAACTCCTCGCCATTGTGTGACGGTTGTCGTCGCTGTTGAAGGCCCAACCACAGGCTTGAGAGCGCCGGGTGCGAGAAGTGCGGCATAAGCGCCATTACTTCGTGGCTGCGTCAACAGTGACCTAAAGACACATGGCGCAGTAATTGCAGGCAATTTCAACAAACATCTATTACTCAGTGTGCTCCCGCAGTCACGTAACGGCACAGCCTGCTTGAAACTTGTTGCAAGAGTCCGTAACACGCACCCACCAACTCTAGCTAGCGCCATTTTTGCAACTCTGACCCAAGATTACTAGAACCAGGGGGCGTCGAAGTCTAGTAGGAAAATCTGGAAATCCCCGGCGTGACGTCACGTCGGGGATGACCGACGGCACCTTGCACTGAAAGATACGGCAAAACGGCTATTTTTGAAAAATGATTAAAAATACTTTTGTGCTGTTATGACACATAAAACGCTTATCAGCATGTTCCTCATCATGTGATAAAGGCATATCCGTGGTCGAAAATAGCCGAAACCCTCCCAATTTCCAACCATCGACCTGATAAGCAAAGGATGTAAGCGTAATCGTTAAGGGCGACTTTCCGTTACATATCTGTACATATGCAGCCTTATGGAAATCGGTCGTTTGGCGATTGGCGACGCGCGCGACATCTGTGCTGCGACTGTAGCGACGCCTGGTGGCTGCTTTTCTGCTGTATGTAGGTATTGGGGTTTTGCCAGATGTGGTTCCTACTGCTACACCACTATGTTGACCCAAAACTAGAAAAGTTATTTTGCTAGTAAAAGGCAAGCAAATTGAATGTTGATTTATAAAATTGCTTATAAATGATTACGAGATAATAATAAAGAAATTTTGATTGAATAATTATTTAAATAATCAACCGTGAAACTATATTCTGGTAGGTTTAGTAGAAATAAGTCCGTGCAACCTTGTATTTAGGGCCTTGACTAGAACATAAGGTTGGACAAATTGTGACGTCACTGGTGCTTGGAATATTTTTTCTAGTATCCCACTAGACAGGCCTAGTTGAAACTAAATTTGAAGGGAGGGCAATCCATTGCCAAGTATCTGATTTTGTGAAAATAATTGTTGGAAATGTAAAGTAAGGCACCATGGACTTGTTTTCAATTGGGAACAGATGATATAAAAAGAAAAATAAATGTTTTACGATACTACTAAATCAGATAATTTGGTACAAATTCATAGACGTATAAATAAACTGGACTGGCAATTCGAAGGGACCTCCCATGGAAGATAGTGGCGCCGACAAAGTGGCGCCAAAAATCTGTGCTGTGAAACGTTGTAAAGCAAATAAATTTGTAATTATTTTTAAATGGATGATCGGATCGAGGTGATGGTGGTGCCGTTTGACGTGCCATTTCTGGAGGCAGGTGATGGTATAGGTCCCGGGTCACTTTCTGTCACGTCGGCGCGTGTGACTTGCCGACAAACACATTGAGAACAAAAACCTTTTATCGACGCTTTAAGCCAATCCAAGGGAGGTCCAGGTGCCAAATTTGTAGGTCACATGTCCCGGTACCAAACCACTAACATATGGAATAATCGGCACCGAGAGATAGGTACATGTTGCACATGCTCGGGGCGAAAAACATGTTTTGATGAGGCATTCTCCGATGTTCGAAAACTTTGACCTAAGCACCTAAAACTCGGCAAGCATCGTAGCGACACGTGCAAGGTGGCGTTGGAAAAGTTTCAACGAGGCGCATCAGAAGTAGGTATGCCCTAAAATTCCGAATTTGAGGCAACGTGGTCAAGATCAGATAAAATTGACCGGAAAAGGTCAATTAAACCCTCGCCGTTTGACCACTGATTGAGCTAGAGCTTCGCATAAAAAAGAGCGTGTGCCCGTGACGGGAGCAAGCCGATGCTACCCAATTTTAAGATCCTAGCTCATCGGTTGACCTGTCAGGTCAGGTCAATGACCCAAAAGTCGGGAAAATCGGGACCTGTTAGAACGTCGTAAGGTGTGGTTGCTATGAGGTTTTTCGCGGTGCTGATCACGAATATCATGTTAGTTTTGATCACAGATGATGTCTTCATGCATTTAGGCCAGGTCAGGTCAGGTCAGGTGAAGGTCACTCAGCAGGGGTCCAGCCGGGTATTCATTGTAGGTGTCAACCGCCACTGACAGCTTCGTAACATGTTACGAAGGCACCAAAACTACATCGAAGCTGTTGAAAGAACTGCTAAATTCGAAATCAGCTCCAAAAACTAGCCTAACATGTAAAACTCGAAAAAGTGAACCGAGGTCATCAAAGGTCAATAACCTGACCTGACCTTCAGGCGACCTTGACACCCACAATAATGCATGGGACCAATATCATTTCACGTGTTTAAATGTTTGAAACCACAAAAACACTGCAATCGCGCTGATACCAGCTGACATATGCAGAATCGCGATTCCAGCCAAACATGATCTCGAGGGATAGGTTACAGGTCAAAGGTTAATTTGGTCAGGGTCATGATTTTTAGGGTAGATTTAAAATTAATCACCTTGAGGGTACTGAAAGTTTTGTCGCGATCGGCGACTTTTTACGCGAGTTAGGTATTCGCGAAAAACGGAGGGGAGGGGGGTCCGGTCGACCCCCCCCTATAAGCGCGTGGGTTAAGAATTTGACCTCGGGTCAAGGTCACAGAAAAGGTCATGTTGGATGTCATTCGATTTGTATTGCTGAGCTGAACACATAAATGGTCATTTCAGCTCTCTAGCATATTGCTATCTAAAGTTATGTACCAGTATTGTCTTGTAGTATTGTCAAAAAATGTTGGAGACGTTTCATGACCTGAAATGACCTTAGGAGCATAAACGGGTATTAGAAGCATTTTTCGGTTCAGTGTGTCATGATCACCTGTGTTTCTTGATGTTTGAGGGTGTTTTAAGCCAAAAGAAAAGCATTTCAATTTGTTCCTTTTGATTTACGTATAATGGAGAGGTCACAAAATTGACCTGACCTTAGGTCACCGATATCCAAATTCTGAGAGAAACAAATTGTTGGTACTGATTTCCCCATGCAATACCTACCTACCCTGAGTTTCAAGCTACTGGAATGTATAATGTAGGAATGACTGAATCTCACAAAGTTCTTAGATACATGGTCACTTCACTTTGCCTGGTGACCTGAGATGACCATAAGTGACCTGGGGTCTGACATTTTGCACACGTTACGAATTTGATGTATCGTAAGCTTTACTAAGTATGGATTTTATCAGGATTTAATTATTATCACAAGTTAATTTCACAACATAACATTCATAAATTTCATTTCTTTGTTGCTGACGAAGTTAGCTGACGATCGTTTGTTGAAGGTGCAACGTCTTCACTTTCGGTTGCTAGGGACGCTCGGTTGCTAGGAATGGCGTCATCAGTAGCAAAATGCCGATGCCAGATGAAGATTTGGTGGGGGCTGCTCTGACCATCGGGCAAGGTTTGCCATATGAAATCAATACAACACTATTTCACTGCAATTTTTATACCCCGAGGTTTGCTCCCACGAATGATTTACGATTCAACGCATGCGAAGGTTTCTTTGTGTTAATTGCAACCTCTATTTTTTCGTCGACATAAGACCCAGACGTAGTAAGTAAATTTGAGATGTTATTAGCCAATCGAGCTTGAAAATCCTGACGCAGGTGTTTCGTGTGATGCGATCACAGCTTTAGTGATGCAAAACGATTGAGCATATCGCTGGCTGTCGATTACATTAGCCACCGTAGTCTTTTTACATTAGCTGCTGCTTGTAAAATCGGTTCGACCTCACCGTGACTCACAGTCACCGCGTCCGTAACTGTAACGGTGACAATTCATGAGTTGATCAGGAATATATCGTGAATAGTGATCGACCACATCCTATCACCGACACCTATCACCGACATCCTATCATCCTATATACCGACACTACATAAATGCATCTGCCCGTCAGTGCGCAATATTCCAATGAAATAAATCGTTCCATGTGATTTCGGTGCAACCATGCTCGTAGCCCTTTTCCACACAAACACTCATCAACACCCTCATACGATTTATTACCAAACGCGGTAATGGACAAATGAGCACACGTAACATAGTGCATTACACTGGGTTGGCCTTGAGGACCATGTCCCTTGTCGCAGCGTCAGGCCGATGCGGGTCGCCCGCACAGGCCACCCGAGGTCGGCGGCGAGCGGAGCGCACTGCTATATCGCCGCGTGCCGGATCGCGCGACAAAGTTGTCTGGGCGGGGACTCTGCCCAATTATACACACACATCAGGCGCCGAGACGGCACGTTAGGTCGACAGTTCATTAGGGCGGGCGGTGCGCCGCCCCCGCGGCTCCACCAGCTCTATCACAGCTAGGAACGACACCACACGGACAGCGCTCACTTTCGCGAGCGCTTCTTCTTTTTGTCCTTGCGCTTCTTCTCCTCCCGCTTCTTGTGGCTGCGCTTCTTCTTCCGTTTCTCGACCTCGCTGTCGGAGCTATCCGAAGAGTCACGGCGCCGCTTCTTCTTCCGCCGTTTGCGCTTGGTCACCTCGGCGCTCGACTCAGAGTCCTCGCTGGAGCTGGCCGAGTCAGAGTCGTCCGAGCTCTCCACCGGCTTCTTGGAGCGCTTCTTGGCCTTCTCGGCCCGCTTAGGCTCAGCGACCGGCGCCGGAGGCTCCTCCTTCTCCTTTTTGGGCACTTCCTCTCCTTCATCAGGCTCAAAGTCCGGCTCGAAGTGCTGCTCGTCGATGAACGACTTTGAGCGGTCCACGGCGGGTCGCGGCGGCGCCGGCTCGGGGTCGGGCGCGGTCACCGGGGACTTGGCCTTCTTGCTGCGCGGCTTGGTGGCCTGTGCCGGTTCCTCGTCCTCCTCAGAGCTGGAGCTCTCTGTCACCGAGCGGCGCTTCTTGCGGCGCCGCCGCCGCTCGCGCTCCTCCGACTGACTCTCCCGTCGCTTCTTTTCGCGCGCCAGCTCCTTCCGTCGTCGTTTCTCGGCCGCGGCTCGCTCGCGCTCCAGTTCCAGCACGCGGCGTTCGCGTTCCTCTCGTTCGCGGCGTTCTCGCTCCTCCCGCTCGCGGCGCTCTCGCTCGCGGCGTTCCTCCATGCGCCGGTCGGGCGGCGGCGGCCGCCGCTGGCGGTCCTGACTGCGGGAGCGGGGCCGCTCGACGGCACTGCGCAGCGGCGGCGGCCGGCGCACGGTCACCTGCAGGCTGGACTCGGCCGGCCGCGGCGGGCTCGGCGGCTCGATGTACACACGGCGCCGGTTGCCGCGCACGGCCTGTTCGGCGCGCTGCAGCGTCTCCTTGTTGACCACCGAGCGGCACTGCGCGGCCGTCTCGGCGGGCGGCGCCGCGCGCGACCGCACCGGCGACAGATCGTCCTGCTCCCAGCGCGAGGGCGCCGGCAGATCCACCTCGGGCACCGCCGGCTCCGGCGAGGGCGGCGCCGGCGACACTGCCGGAGCCGGCTCGGCGGCCGGCTCCGCAGCTGGGGACGCCGGCCGCGGCTCCTGCTCCTGAGAGGCAGCCTTGGGCGGCGGTTCCGTCACCGGCTGAGAGCCGGCGCTCGGCTCCTGACTGGACGGCTCCACGTCAGCCTCTGAGGACGCCACCGCCTTCACCTTCTTCTTCTTGGCCTTCTCTTTCTTCTTCTTCTTTGGTTCCTCGCCATCTTCCTTCTCCTTCTTGTGCTTCTTCTTGACCTTTTCTTTCTTCTCGTGTTTCTCGGCCTTCTCATGCTTGTCGTGCTTATCGTGTTTCCGTTTGGTTTTCTCCGACTCGGCCCGCCGCTCGTGGTCGTGTTTCCTCTCGCTGGAATGACCGGATCGCTCTCGCACGTCGCGGCTGTCCCGGCCGTCGCGGCCGCGCATTTCCACCCTCCTCTCGTCGAGCCCACGCCGCGCGCGGCCGCGGTCGTCCAGCTGCGCGCGCAGGTCGCGCTCGCGGCCCAGTCGCTCGTTCTCGCGCTCGCGCTCTCGGCGCAGACGGTCCTCCTCTCTGTAGCGCTGCAGGAGGGACGGCTCGCCGCCGCCGCCGCCGCGCGGACGCCGGCTCATGAGCGGCGGCGGTCTCTGGTCGCCGTCGAACCGGCCGCGCTCCGAGTCGTAGCCCCGGTAGCCGGGCGGCGCGCCCTTGGGGCCGCCCGGGCCGCCGTGGAACTGCCGAGACACAAAGATACATTGGTCAGCACATTGTCAATAGCTTAGTCAGGACTTTCACAGAAGATTGGTCAAGGCCGAGACGAACGATTTGTCGGGGCTGAAAAAGAAACTATTGGACACGGCACACAGCTGATTAGTACTGATACTGACAGGTATCACAACTATGAGAGACGCGGCAATGGCAGTCCAAGAGCAAGTAAAAAGGAATTCGAATGGCATTTTACGCCTTTACTGATATTCACGATGAAAAACATTCATATAATAACGAGGACCGCATTTAACACCGTAAAACATTACCAGAGCTCCGCGGCTCAGCCGGCATATCATGCAAACCACTGCACAGTTAATACAGAATATCGGTGCCTCACCTCGTCGTACTCTGCAGGGTAGCCGCGCCCGTTGACGCGCCGCGTCTCCTCGGGACGGTACATGGGGCCGTACTGGCCGTGCTGGGGCGGATAGCCGCCCAGAGACGAGGAACCGCCGTACTTGGGGTACTCGCCACCAGCGCTGTAGTCCGGCTCGTACGCCCTGTGCGCAGAGCGAGAGAAGCGGGTCAGTGCCTGAGATCGACGATTCAGTCAGGTGTGCATAGGAAATATGAGCATTACTCAGTCTGGTGGTTCGGTTTTTAGAAACTGAATAAAAAAATTCAGAACATGTTAAGGTTGATGGCTTTTAGGTATGCATCAACAGCCGAATGCGTCCTTTTTAGCATAATCGAGAGTAGTAGTGAGCGATATAAATACACACATTAGGCAATGCAATAAAATTTAAATATATTATTAGATCAATGATTGGCCTAATATCTAACACTCAATCGAAGTGCGTCTGAAAATGTAGTTATATTGCCGCCAGTGACTGACCTCGGGTAGCCGTCCTGCCAGGCGGCCGGGGCCGACTCATACCCGCCTATAACACCGCGCGGCGGCGGCGGCGGCTGGCCGTAGCGGCCGCGCGTGCCGGCCGGCGCGCCGCGGCCGCCCCCGCCCCCGCCCAGCGGCGGCGGGTAGTAGTCGGCGCCCACGGGCGGACGCTGGCCCGGGTAGTCGCGGCCGGCGGCGGCCGGAGGCATCCCGTAGTAGTCCCCGGCGCGGTACCGGCTGAAACGAAGAGGGAGAGAGGGATGGTCAGCCGAGTGCGATAGGACGCGGGGAAACGTTGGTGAGAAACGGGATGCCCACTTCATCATTATTCAAACTTCCAAGTCTAAAGTTGGAAACAATATACATTTTTAGAGGTCGTAGGCGAAAGGTCAGTGGATGGCGAAAGGTCGTAATACGAAAGTTTTATCAACGCATCAGCTGGCTAGGTAAACTGGTATGCGTCATCGCCTACCGGCAGCAGGCCGATCGATTCAGCAATCGCTGAACATGGCATATTTATTATTCATCCGTCCCTAGGACCAGATCTTGCGATATGTCCCACGGCACAGGCGACGGACGCTTTTTAGGACAGACAGAGGAGCATACGCCTGCATATATCTACTGTCAGAAGAAAAGAAGTGGGCGACCAAATCTACTGCAGAAATCTACTGGAGACAGAAGACCAAATCCTTTCATTATACAGCTGCACAGAATAAACAGAGCAATGGGCATCTATCCGGCCAGATGGTGTCAGAGTCAGACATTTCCACTGGGGACAGAAGAGCCAAAAATACAATGCACTCTACACAGTCATTCTGAGCCGTGTAGAAAGTTCGGTAAGCACTCACCCATACTGGTCGGCGATGGGCGGCGGCGGCTCTCGGCCGTAGCCGAGCGGCGGGCTGGGCTCCCCGCGCCGGCCGTAGCCGCCGGCCGGGCTGAGCGGTCGCCGGCCCACCGGGGACAGCTGACGCACCTTACGCGGGGACGGCGAGCGAGAGAACGACACCGACCGGCTGCCGGGGAGGAGCGGGGGTTAGCCGGAGACAGCGGATCAGCTGGGGCAGACTAATGCCAGGCGTTTCTAACAGAAAGAAACAACGTTCGTTTCCAATGAACTAACAAAGTTAATAAATTCGCCAAATGTGGTAAATTCATTTAACCACATTAATTCATTTAACCACAATTCATTTAAGCTACAGTGAAGTTTCTATGACATTTGATTGCTCTCCATCCAACACTCAGTAAATTCAAACACACACTGAAAAATACTCCGAGCCTGAGTCTTCTGCATCTCTGGTGGTACGGTCAGGTTAGCACTGAAGCCCTTCACAGACTCTTCTCCTCTCCCCCTTCTGACTGGTTCGATCTGGACCCACATTTCCCGTCCCCATCTGTAGCATACCGTCGTCGAGGCGGCGGCGACGGCGACCGGCTCTGGCGGCGACTGGTCAGCGGCGAGCGGCTGTACCGGCGCGGTGAGCGGCTGGGCGAGCGGCGCCGGGGCGGCGGCGACCTGCGGCGCGGGCGGGAGTCACTAGGTACCGACCGGTCACCCGGCACACGGCTCCGCCCGGCGCAGACGCACGAGCAAAGTACCAACATACGAGCAATATTTGCGAGCGATGTACTTACGAATTACGAGCGATTACAAACATAAGAGCGATAACAAATACACGAGCGATATGGAAACATACGAGCGATAAACCAGCAATCAGCATACTAGCGATATACCGACTTACCAGCGATATACAGCACACAAGCGATATTAAGCAGCACTTAACGGCACGGTAGTACCACGCCGAACGTCAAGCTACAAGCCCTGGCGGACCGAGCAGCCGCGGTCGGTAACTCACCTGGACTGACGCCGTTTAGGCGGCGGGCTGCGCGACCGGGACCGGCTCAGAGAGCGAGGAGACAGCGAGCGGCCGCGCGGTGAGAACGAGCGGCGCTTGGTGCGGCCGTCCCGCAGGTCCTTCTGACGCATCAGACGGTTGAACTCGGCGAGAGGGTCGTCCAAGGGAACGCTGGGGAAAGGACGGCAACGGTCAGTTGGAGGAGAGTAAATCCAGATATCACAAACAGGCATTGACAACGCGAACCTGGTAACGAACACACTTGCGACTCTATCCCCATGTTAATGTTACCCAACGAGAGTATCATATTTGAACGTGTTTTTTCAACATCTGCACATTCACCGCATTATTCACAAGGATCTACGCAGGTTGAAAAAACAATGCCCCAGATACGCAGCAGATGGCCGGAAGGCGGTGTGTGGCTCGGCTGCCTCACCGGTACCATACCGGTCGTACCTAGGTATGGTGGCTGTCAGACTGGTGGCCAGACTCGTGGCGGCGCTGGAAAAGACGAGCACAGCAAACAATCAGCACCCAGGCTACAGACGAAAAGCAGTACCTCAAAGCACAAAGCACAAGGCACTCTCCCAAGCACAGTTATCATAGAGTACCTCACAACACAACAAAACGCAATATGTCCCTCATATCCCCGAAGACGGCATGCGTGCAAAACAAACTCCTTCCCAAGACACATCCAGCAGGGCAAACAGCGAGCAAACCACTCATCCAGACGACAAAAAAAAAATCCACGCAATCATACCAAATCTCACGCCATACCATACCATTCCATCCAGAACCCAAAATCTCTCACACATCACACCCAAATCCTCAGCAGCTCCCAGACGGAGTACTCAGCCGGCGTTACCCATCCGACGCGTTGCTCCTGTCCTCTCAGGGACCCACCTGCTGTAGTTGATGGCCGACTGATGTGGCGGCGGCGCAGTGTATCCGGGCGGGGGCTGGCTCAGGTCGGCAGGCAGTACACGGCGCTCCGGTGACCGGGAGCGAGGCGGCGGCGAGCGAGAGCGACGTGGTGTCGAGCGGGAGCGGCGCGGCGGCGAGCGAGCGGCCCGGCCCGGAGGAGAACCTGCCGGAGAAGAAAACCACGGTCCACGGACGCTCACACGAGACGGGGACGGCGGGTTGACCGGGCGGGTGCCGCCCGGGGCTGACGGGGTACTCAAACCCTGCTGCAAAGTACACAACACGACTCTAGCTGAGAGTCTTTCATATCACCGCTGCCTGATGAGCTGACGTCCGGTGGGTACCGGGTGCCGTCAGAGCCTGTACAGTGTGCACCATACCTGCTTCTCAGTGGCCGATAGCTCCGTCTCTGATGCTCGCCGGAGTCCGGTCCACACGCGACCACCGGGGGCAGCCGTGCCGGCAGCCGCTCCCGAACGACTGTGATGCCGAACTCGCCGCAGCAAACCAGCGATGTGGTGACCACACTCACTTGAGGATTGCATGCATTCTTAAGCAGGTTGGTTACGGATCCCCCCCCCAAAAAAAAATTATCGGTAACGCATCCAAAAGATTAAAGCGGTATTAGGATGAATGAATGCATTAGGGAAAAAAGCTGCGGCCTGCGAAGCCAGTTGTGAATGAAGCCACTGGGAGAGCTTGAGGCATCACACAAGCTGCACTTGAAACCAGGGTAGGTAAATGCATAATGAGGAATAAAAGCAATATATAATGTTGTAAGTTGTAACTGCTGATACGGCTGAACCGGTTACTCGTATGTAAATATGAATGTCATTGCTGGCATGTGACACTTCGCATGCTTTGGCAGGCAGTCGGCATGTACACGTAGTTTTTGTGTAAGGTGAGCGGTGCGAAATGCAGGAGCGATCCACCGAGCAGTGAAAGCAGCGAGTTAGCGCACACGTAACGGCGAAGACTATTGAAGACAGCTTAAGGATCGTGTTGGGTTTGAAAACGGAGCCTAAAGCTTCGCGGAAGAAGAGTGCGTTGGCCGTTACGAGACGCAGCGAACGGTACTGAGCATAGGCGGCAGGACGAGGGGGGCACCGGGGCACCGTGCCCCCTCTTTGATTTTGGCATTTTAACATTAGCCCTTTGGGCGTTGCATGGAAATAATTGGACCAAAATTCGGCAGTGCCCCCCCCCCTCCCCCTTCATTGAAGGTGTTCCGCCGCCACTGGTACTGAGTTCTGTCTCTGGTCGAACCAGTGACCTCAGAGCATAGGCGTAGGAACAGGGGGGGCCGGGGGGGCCATGGCCCCCCCACTTTTTAGCCATTTTTTAAAAGTAAAACCTTTATTTTTTATTTAAATACAAAACTAAGAGCAGGAAATGATTCAGCAAGGTGAGATGAGCACAAAACTGCAAAGAATTTCTTCATAGGGGTATTGGGGCTCCCACAAAGTGACATTGAAGTTTCGCTGGCCCCCCCACTTTTCGTGAGGTTCCTACGCCCATGCCTCAGAGGTCAGGTCGATGAAGGAATGGGGTCAAGTTTTGATATCTAACAAGAACTTGGCAAAAATTGCCACAGAGCAATAATTTTGGAAAGATCACGGTTGTCATATCCTGTCGTGTGACACGATACGATTTTCGTACGTCAAAGTCAATTGTAACAATAATATGAGGTCAAAATCAGGTTAACCCGCGCCGGGCCAGTGCTCCGAGATTCCGCGCCGGGCCGGGGGGGGGGGGTGTCTGACCACCCCCCTCCCCGTCTAACTCGGCTCCTGGGCCACGTAGCGACACGCGGTAAGCGGCAATCGAAAGAACGTCCAAAATAAGGACGAAAACACTCAGTCATTTTTTGGGTCAGGTCAAAGGTCAGGTCACCAGAGGTCACCAAAGGTAAAATGTTGACTATTTCAACATTTTGGAAACTGCCGACGGCTATCTCGGGAACCGATAGAGCTACAGCGCCGCGGAAAAGCGCATCCCCTAGCCCTTTTACAGACCTTTCTGAGTGTTGTTCTCAGATTTGACCTCAGGTCAACGGTTTAGCTTCCAGAGGGCAAAAACTCCAAAAATAGCCGTTTCTACGAAAAGCGTTTTTCGGCAATAACTTTTGACTCAAAAGAGCCATGACATTACTTTAGCCAGCATCGTGTTCCTCTCGTCGAGACGCGTCGAATGAACTATAATTTGACATCAGGTCAAGGTCATGACCTGACCGAAAAAGGTCATGTTGCATATCAGTCGATCCGCAACGTCGAGCCGAACACATCTAAGGCGTTTTCAGCGCTCTAGCACGCCTCTATCAGAAGTTATTAGCGAAAAACTGTTAGACTCTGTTCGTGACCTGAGATGACCTCGGGGACATAACGAGGGGTCACAGTTGCCATTTTCCGGTTCAGTGTGTCAATTTTACCTACATCTCGATGTTTGAGAGTGTCTAGAATAGCGTTCGTTCAAAACAGACGCTTTTCAATTCAAGTACATTTAGGTACATTCACGTGAGGTCTTATTTGTGTACGGTCGAACTGATCAGCATCAAAATTATTTTGTAGGTTTGTTTCTGTTTACATGGCTCCTTATTGCGAATGACAGCTGCAAATAGTCATTTCTTAACCCGCGAGTTGCTGGGGGGGGGGGGCGTTAAACGCCCCCACTTTTTCGCCGGGCCATAGCATAAAAACGGCGCGCCGCAGGCGCGCTAAATTTTGGGTACCTGTAGGGAATGGATTGAAGTATTGTGACAAAGTTTCAAAAAAATCGGTCCGAAAAAAAATTTGAGATATCGAGGTTTTAGTGACGTCATGATTTCTGAGTTTTCGACCAAAAATGGCATATGTTCAAAAAATCATATAAAATCACAGGACAGACATACAGACATGCAGTAAACGCCATTAGACTGCCAATACCATGAACAATCAAATGGCTATCTTCGATTATTGATTATCGTTCCGCATTTTCCAAAATATTGAACTGAATCTTGGCAATTTCTCGAACATGATACATGCATTTCTTAAATTGAACTTTTTGAGCCAAACACGTACACACATGATAAAATGAATGTCACCATCGTGTTCTACGCCCCAAATTACCCATAAAACATGTGTCACGGGCTGCGAATATCAGTATTGATTTTCGGGGATATGTGCCTACCCGGTTGACCTGACCTTGACCCTGACCTATGCTTGACTGACCCCTACATGGAGCCGACACTCTTGTAGGCCTTATATGATGGATTGTGCACCGTTTTGACAGAGTTTATGACGAGAGGCGCCCATTGCGAAGTCCTGAAGTCCATGCTACTGAAAGCCCGATTTCAGGTGTTTGACCTGACCTTGACCCGACCTGTGACCTCAAAATTCAACTTTAAAGTACTCATCTGAAGCGTCTCGTCGCGTTCTTTCGTTTGCCGCCTCGTGCGTTTCGCTGCGCCTATTGGTTCTCGAGTTATCGGCTGGGGGCGTTTAACGCCCCCCCCCCCCCCAGCAAACGGTGGGTGGCGAAATACCCCAGCAACTGCCGGGTTAAGCATCCTTGGGTGTTTATTTTAGGGGGACGTCCCCTCGGATTCCTCGACTGGGGGGACGCGTCCCCCAGTCCCCCCTGCTTTCGACGCCCATGTAATTACATACAACATATTCATAATGCATTCACTTTTCAGTTGTCATATGACCAGCGGTAGGAAACATACGCATATCACAAGTCACCGAGTGGCATGGCAACTGGAAAAAAAAACTAAAACTCTTAGAGTTAGACATGGTGAACTGAAATCCTCCCAGCCAGTATCATCAAAAAGTTTTTTTTTGTGCGCTGAGAAAGCTTAGTTCATTTAAAAGCTAAGAATAGTTTACAATACTGTGGATTTGTCAGCCGAAATCGACATAACAGGCCAAAATAAGGTAATAACATAACCAAAGTTCAAACTCATCACATCTTGCAGTTTGCATATAACTCCTGACAAAAGAAGACTTAGAGGGCCTCCTCTCTTCAAAGAGTCTCGTCTCTACACAGGACCCCCTCTATACAGAGGACCTCGTCTCTGCAAAGGGCCTCCACTCTACAGAGGGCCTCCTACCTACAGAGGGCCCCGGCCTCCTACCTACAGAGGACCTCCTTTCTACTGAGGGAGTCCTCCTCTACAGAGAGCCTCGTCTCTTCAGAGGATCTCTCTACAGAAGGCCTCCTTTTTACAGAGGGCCTCCTCTCTACAGAGGGTCTCCTATCTACTGAGGAGTCAGAGGGGCTCTAGCGGTCAGACACAGACACTAGTGGTTATTCACAGGAGGTAAGAAGGACCCTAGCTGTCAGGCTGGTCAGAAGGCCCTGATTGTTATGTCATTTTTTAGATTCCCGTGAATTTCGTTCGCCTCCGACGTGATTTTGGCCAACGTGGGCCTTCGGCCCACGGAGACCCTGATTCCATCCGGGGGGCCTCCTGAAAATCCCAAGGGAGGGGCGGGCGCCCCTTCCGCCCCCCCCCCCCCTTGGCTATGTCCCTGAAGAAAGGGTACTGAATGTTTCGCTCTCCTATCTCTAAGCGTTCGAAAGCTATCTATCGCAAATATTCGTCACGGGCAAAAATGCCAACCCCTCCCCCTCCCTCCTCCCAGCCCAGAGGGGATTAATACTCACACTTAATTGAAGGGGAGTCGAACGAACCCCTCGGTTTTTCGCGAATAACTCGCGCAAAAAGCGGCTGATGGCGACGAAAATTGTAGTACCCTGGAGTTGATCAATTTTACACCTGTCCTTAAAATTTCATGACCCTGATCAATATGACCTTTGACCAGTGTGACCTATTTCTCCAGACCATGTTTGGCCGGAATCGCGATTCAACGTATGTCGCCTATCCGCGCGTTTCCAGTCTTTTTGTGGTTTTAAACATTCAAGCATGCGAAATGATGTTGGTCCCATGCATTATGGCGGTTGTCAAGGTCACATGAGGGTCATGTCAAGGCATTGACCTTTGAAGACCTCGGTTCACTTTTTCAAGAACTGTATGTTGCTAGGGCAATTTTTGGAACTGATTTCGAATTTGGCACCCATTTGAACATTTACGAAGTAGTTTTGGTGCCTTCGTAACATGTTACGAAGCTGTCAGTGGTGGTTGATACTTGACAGTGACACCTACTATGGATAGCCGGCAAGACGTCTATTGGTTGACCTGACCCGACCTGCCTTAAATGGATGAAGACATTATCTGTGATAAAACTAACATGAAATTCGTGCTCTGCACCTCGTAAAACCCATTAACAACCTCACTTACAAAGTTTTAACAGGCCCCAATTATTTCAAACTTTTGGGTCAGTGACCTAACCTGAAGGTTAAAGACCTAAGAACTTAATCCTCGCCTGTGTGCAGCGTTTCCCAGCGTCTAATGTGTAGGGGGAGGGGCGGTTGGACCGCCCCCCCCCCGCCGATCGGCCCCTGATCGAGCTAGAGCTTTGCGGAAAAAAGGGCGTGTTGCCCGTGACGAGAGGGGGCCGATAATATCCAATTTTAAGGTCCTAGGTCATAGGTTGACCTTCCAGGT